ACTGTCCCCTGAGAAAGTCTGCTAAGGCAGATCTTTAGAGAACATTCCCCAAGCTCTTCACTTGCCCACCTCCCGGCAGTCCCATCACTGCTGTCCCCATGGTGGGAACCTCCTGGAGGCTCTGCTGCCATGCTGGCCTCTGCCCACAAAGCATCCATTGAGCTTCTCCTCATGCCAGGACAGCCCCAGGCCCACCCAAGGCCCTGCCTGCCCCAACTGCACCACCCTCTCTCCAGACTGCCTGTTTTGTATCTGGCACCCTTTTTGCTGCAGAGCCTCTGGGCCGCCCCCAGCCCCCAACCATCGTGTATCTCACTCCTCCCAGGACTGGGGTTCAGCATTCAGTCTGTGGTCGTGTCCCCATCCATCTCTGTCCCCCGAGTCACAGCAGCCATCCCTTCCTGCTCCATGTCACACTCATGCGAGTGTTCAGGTGTTCACCTGCTAATGACCAAGCAGGTAGGACATGAGACACGCCCAGGTCTGGGGCCAGGAGACCCATCAAAGGCCAAGCTGTCCACGGTCTGGGCAGCACAGGAGAAGCTGTACCTTTAGTGGCCTCCACTTCTTCCAGCAGCACCTGGGAGATGTAGTGGATGCTCCTCAGGTATTCTGTATATGCCTCCTGTGCCCAGGGGAGAGAAATGACATAGATCATGCCATTAGAGGCAAATAATTCCATGATGTCTGCTTGTTGCCCTTTTGAAAACAGTAACCATGGTGCCTGCTTATCTCTGAGATACACCTTCATTATCCGAGCTGGTTAGCTGGTAACTGCTCTGCCTGGAGCACAGAGAATAACCCATTTTTCTAGACTTGAAGTTGGTGTCACTCCTTTCTCTCCAGCACAGAAAGGAATGGAGGTTCTCATTCAGTGGGTCAAGGAAGCAGCACTGGCGGGTGCTGCCATTTCCACTCTATGCAACAAGTTCTTTTCCTGTATAACTCAGGGGCCATTCATTCAATGGCTTTAAAGAATTATTTCCTGGGAGGTGAATCAGGGACTGTGTTGTAAATCTTAAAGAGTCACTTTCTGACTCAGTCTGGGAAAACCCTGGGCACGCAGGAGTCTATGCCACTAGAATGCTGGCATTTTCAAACGTGTGACCCTCCTGGTCAGGGGTGCCCGACAGAGCTCAGGGCGTTTGGAATGACAGCATGGGGCCTGCTTTTTGTTTGTTTCCTTGCATCCCAGTTCTCGTTATCCACCTTTAAGTCTACACTTCAGATAAAGATAAAATGGATTCCGGGAAGGATTTCTGACTTGTGGGGGCATTTGCTGCCCTAGGATAGCGACTTGGGAAAGGAAACGGATGGAAGACCTGAACGACTCTTCCCTTGGGCGGCCCAGAGTGGTGGCAGAGTGGTTCTGCCGGCTTTTCCACGCGGTTGCCACCCTTAGGATTAACACCGGTTCTCAGAAACAAGCCGCACCCCTCCCCCGCCGGCACTTCCTACCAAACAAGCTCTGAAGGCGACTCGAAAGCCGCAGTTAACCTCTTCTGCGTACCGTCCCCTTTGGGAATCTGACCAAATCTACAGGGTCCGCCTCCAAACTACACAAACACACGGGACTGTCTGCCAGATACACTTTGGAGGGCTGCTTCATAGAATCTCCTGAGTCCCTTCACAAATAAAAACGCCTCGGCTCCAACCGAACAGCTAAACAAACGAGGGGGAAAAAAAAAAAAAGATAAGGCGGGAGCTGTCCAAGGTCACGGCCCAAGCTGGAGCCGGCACCCCGGAGTCTTCAGAGAGGCCTGGAGGTGCCCTCCCCGCGGCCCCGCCCTCGCCCACGCCCACCAGGCCGGTCGCTGGTCGGCGACCGCCCCCGCCCCGCTCGGCTCTGCCCGCCTTACCCGGGGCCGGTTGCCAGTGTCCAGCTCGATGGCCCCGTTGGCCAGCTTCATGGCGCATTGCAGTGGCTTCACCGAGCCGTCCCCGGCCGCTGCGGCCATGGCGCCGGCAGGGGAGGCGGCGGCGGCGGCGGCCGAGGGGCGGGGCGGCCGGCTTGGGGCCCGGAACGCAATATGTGGAGGAGCAGGTGCCGCCCGAGCCCAGGACCATAGGAAAAGGTGGTACCAGAAAGGGCCCACTTCCGGCAGCCCCGCCCCGTTGGCTCGCTACGCGCTCTGCTCCTGGGGCCGAAGGGGCGGAGGTGGGGGTGACGGAGCTCTCAGATAACCTCCTTACGCTGTAGCCAAGAGCGTGTAAGTGCAACTGCTGCTGCCCGCACTCCACGTCGGTGACAGACGGCGCCCCTTGCCCTCAAGCCGTGCTGCTCTGCCCTCCTCACTGCGCTCCTCCCCTCCTCACTGCGCCCCTCCCCTCGTCACTCTCCGCTCCTCCCTTCACACTCTCCTCTCCCTCCCCTCCGCTGGTCAGTCCGCCCCATCCTGGTCTCTTCATCCTCCTCCTTCCTCGCCCCGCCCCTCCTCTTCGCCATGCCCCGCTTCCAGTAAGTCCAGCGGAGCCGAGCGGCGGAGTCGAACGGAAACGACCGAGCACAGTCCGCGTAGCGGATGAGAGGCTCTGGACGTCCTACCTCTCGGCCCAGCTAGCCGAGCGGGGCCGAGCGGTATCGAGCCGGGCCGGGCGGAGCCGAGTGGGGCGGAGCTGGGCCGGACGGAGCCGGGTGGGGCCGAGTTGGGCCGAGCCGGGTCTGACGGGGCGGAGCGCTGGGGCCGAGTTTAAGCCATCTCCACGGCTATGAAGCGGGACCGGCTCGGGCGCTTCCTGTCGCCCGCGGCGTCCCGGCAGCGCGGGAGCTCGGGCCGCGGCAGTTGTGGCGAGGTGGGTCCGGCCGTCCGGTCGCGAGGGGCGGCGGGTGGGGCCCCTGTGACCGTAGAGTGCCCCCGGTGGCCACCGGGACCCCGCGGGACCCCCCCGGCCCAGGGTGTCTCCTCAGAAAGCGGACTAGGCCTCCCTGCTGGGAGGGGTGAAGTGGCCTCTCCGGGACGCCGCAGCTGCGCGGGGTGTTCTTTTGCAACACAGCTGACCCATCGGCTCCCCTCAGAGCTCGCGGAGTAGTTTAGTGGTCGAGTCGTGCCGTCTGTCGGCCAGGCCTGGTTTCAGTCGTGGTTTTGCGCTGTGCTTTTCGGATAATGGCTGAATCTCTCAGGGCCTCAGCTTCCTCTTCGCTAAAACAGAACTGAGGATTAAGTATAGGAATGCCCGCCGCCCCCCTCGCCCCGACAGACTGTATGGGGGTTAATATGCACTTGGTCTTAGTGTCATGCTTTTGCCCCCTCAGAAAGGACTTCAAGCTGCTCTCCTATAATCCCGGGGCAGAGAGGCAGGGGCATCATCTACTCCTGCAGTCAGGAGCAGAGACCCCCGGGAAAGCAGTGTGTGGACACGGTTCCTTCGCTTCTGGTCTCAGGGGAGTGGTGTGAAGAGGAATGAAGTTTCCAGCTCAGTTTATGACGGTTCTATAGCTGTGGAGGCATTTATATACTCAAAACTTTTTTTTTGAGAAAAAAATTTGATGTATAGTTGGCACATAACATGATGTTGGTTTTAGGCATACTAGCTAACATCCATCACCACTCCAAGTTAGCAGTCTTTTTCCCTTGTGATAACTTTTAGGATCAACTTTTAAGAGCTCTTAGCAATTTTCAGATATACAGATAAGTATTATGTTGTGGTAACTATAGTTACCATACGGTAGACGATGTCACCAGGACGTACTTTATAACTGGAAGTTTGCACCTTTTCATCACTGCAACCGCATTTCACTCAGGACCTCACTCCCCTTCTTTCAGCCAACAATATCTTTAATGTAATTATTAGTTCATGATTTTCTCTTTTTGTAGATTCCACATGTTAGTAACGTCATATGGTATTTATTCTACTCCATCTGACTGATTTCACTTAGTATGATGCTGATAATGTCCATCTTTGTCGTTGGAAATGGCAAAATTTTTCTTGTTAATAGCTGAGTAAATAGTCTATTGAGTATATATACCACAGTTTATACATTCATACATTGATAGACACCTTGGGTATTACAGATAATGCTGCAATGTATATAGGGGTGCATGCATGTACCTTTTCAAGTTAGTGTTTTTTATTTCCTTAGGATAAATACTGAGCAGTGGAATTGCTGGACTGCATAGTAGTTTTATTTTTAATTTTTTGAGGAACCTCTATGCTGTTTTCAATAGTGGCTGCACCAAGTTACATTCTCACTAACAGTGTACAAGTGTTCCCTTTTCTGCACATCCTTACCAACACTTGTAATTACTTGTCTTTTTGGTGATGGCCATTCTGATAGGTGGGAGGTAAATGTCTCATTGTGGGATTTTTTTTTTTTCCTCATTGTAGTTTTGATTTGCATTTCCCTCATGAAGTAATGTTGACCACCTTTTCATACACCTGTTGGTTATCTGCACGCCTTCTTTAGAAACAGGTCTCTTTAGAGCCTTTGCTCATTTTAAAAATCAGATTATTTTTGTTATTGAGTTGTATGAGTTCTTTACATATTTTGGTTATTAATCCCTTATGTGATACATAACTGGTGAGTATTTTTTCCTATTCAGTAGGTTGCCTTTTCATTTTGTTGATGGTTTTCTTTGCTGTGCAGAAACTTTTTAGTTTGACATAGTCCCATTTATTTATTTTTGCCTTTGTTACCTTTGCTTTTGGTGTCAATCCAAAAAATCATCTCCAAGACCAATGTCAGGGAGCTAACCATTATGTTTTGTTACATGGAAGGAGTTTTATGGTCTTTCAGGTCTTTAATCCATTTTGAGTTGAGTATGGTATAAGATGGTCTAGTTTCATTCTTTTGCATGTGGCTGTCTCAACACCATTTTCTCAACACCATTTGTTGAAGAGACTGTCCTTTCCCCATTGTATCTTGGCTTATTTGTTGTAGATTAATTACCTATATATACATGAATTTATTTCTGTACTGTCTATTCTGTTTCATTAGCTTATGTGTTAATTTTTTTTAATTAAAAATATTTATTTAGCTGTGTTGGGTCTTAGTTGTGGCATACAGGATCTTTGATCTTTGTTGCAGTATGTGGGATCTTTAGTTCTGGCAAGTTCCCTGACCAAGGATTGAATCTTGGCCCCTTATAATGGGAACGCGGAGTCTTAGCCACTGGACCATCAGTGAAGTCCCTTTATGTGCCTCTGTTTATGCCAGTACTGTACTGTTTTAATTATTGTAGCTTGGTGGTATAGTTTGAAATCAGGAAGCATGATGCCTTCAACTTTGTGGAGCTTTCTTGGCTGTTCAGCATCTTTATTGGTTTCATATAAATTTTAAGATTTTTCTATTTTTGTGAAAAATACCAACGAGATTTTGATAGGGGTTGTTTTGAATTTGTAGGTGACTTTGGGGAGTGTAGACATTTTAACACTCTCTTGTTAATTAATGTCAATTGTCTTATTATTTGATGTCAATTAATTATTCCAACCCATGATCATGGACTACTTATTTGTGGTTTCAATTTTTTTTGTCAGTGTCTTATAGGTGTCAGTGAACAGGTCTTTCATCTCTTTGGTTATATTTATTCATAGGTATTTTATTCTTTTTGATACAATTGTAAATCCGATTCTTTTCTTAATTTATAATAGTTTGTTATTCGTGTATGGAAATCAACTTATGTTTGTATATTGATTTTGTATTCTATAACTGAACTTGTTTATTCTAACAGTTTTTTTGGTGGAGTCTTATAGAATTTTCTGTATGTAACATTATACACAAACCGATTGTCTTGCTTCTGTCTGTATGATTTGGGTGGTTTTTATTTTTCTTGCCTAATTGCTTTGGCCAGAATGTCCAGTACTGTGTTGAATAAAAATGGTGAGAGTGGGCATCTTTGTTTTGTTCCTGATCTTAGAAGACAGCTTTTAGCTCTTTACCGTTGAGTATGATGTTAGCTCGGGGCTTGTCGTGTATGGCTCTTATTATGTGTTGGTATTTTCTATCTGTATACAGTTTATTGAGGTTTTTATCATGAATGGATATTGAATTTTATCCACTACTTTTTCTCCATTTATTGAGAGGAGTGTGATTTTTATTTTGTTAATGTGTGTCACATGAATTGATTTGGGAAGGTTGAGCCATCCTTGCCTCCCTGGAATACATTTCAGCTGATCATTGTGCGTGATCTTTTTAATTAAGTGTTGAGTTCAGTTTGCTGTTATTTTGTTGAAGACTTGTACATCTATGTTTATTAAAAATAAATATTATTTTCTTTCCTTGTTGTGTCTTTGTCTGGTTTTAGTATTAGAGCAATACTGGCTTTGTTTGGAGGCATTTAGAGTTCTTTGAAAGGATTTTCCACTCAGAAGACCCTCCACTGGCCATTCTCCCAAAAGACTGTGTGTTCATCTGGGAGCCTGGAGCCAGAGCCCTGCCTCTGGCCCAGACCTGGACTTGTGTTTAAGGGGCATGTCTGAGGAGGTCCCACTCCAGGAGCTGGTGGGGAGTGGGGGTGGGGTCTGGTGGAGTGTGGATCTCACCTCTTCTGGGAGCTGTGTTCTGCATGCCTGACTTCATATTTCCTGTGCTTGCCCAGGAACTGCCCGGGCCCTGGCCATGGGGCACTGTCGCCTTTGTCATGGGAAGTTCTCCTCCCGGAGTCTCCGCAGCATCTCCGGCAGGGCGCCTGGGGAGAGCTCAGAAAGGCCACCCCCTGGGGACCGTGTTTTCATCCGAGATTTTCAGCGCCTCCTGGGCGTGGCTGTCCACCAGGACCCAGCTCTGTCCCAGTTTGTCTGCAAGAACTGCCATGCCCAGTTCTACCAGTGCCACGGCCTCCTCACATCTTTCCTGCAGCGAGTCAATGTTCTCCCGACAGGCCGCCGGAAGCCTTGCACAAAGTAGGCGCCCCTTTCCTCCTTTGCTGGGGGCATGCAGGAGACCGTGTGAACAGGGCTGCGTGGGCACAGGGCAGCCCGGGTGCCTGGCGAGGCAGACACTCATAAACAGCAGCCACTGGGTGTGTGGGGAGGCTGACAGGAGAGCACAGGGCAGGGAGGGCCTGGTGGGTGGCCTTGGAGGGAAAGGCTCAGCCTGCACACTCAGTGGCCACTGGGCCCCATGCTTGTCTTGGTGAGCAACTCTGCTCCTTTGCAGGGTCGGTGTCCAGCCACGGATGGGGCCGGAGGAGGGAGCGTGTGTGGGTGAGTGCGCCCCCAGTGTGGGGTTGCAAGGTGGGTGGGAGGTGGGGGGACCCAGATGCTGACTGGCCACGGGCTGGCTTCTCTCTGCCTTTCCTCAGTGGACCTGATTGCTTCGAACCCCCAGGGCCTGCGTGGCTTGGTGGGGTGGGTGCACAGACACGCGGCTGGCTGCGGGGCCCTACCTAGCCTCCAGAGGACGCTGTCCTCCGAGTACTGTGGTGTCATCCGGGCCGTGTGGGGCTGCGACCAGGGCCATGACTACACCATGAACGCCGACTCCAGCTGCGGGGCCCTCTTGCTGGACAGCGCTTTGGGTGTCAAGTGGACGTGGGACAAGGATTCAGCCCCACGACTCCCCCAGCATCGGGGGTTCAGCCCCACCGGGGCTGCCCCTCAGAGCTCCCAAAGCAGAGCAGCTGCGGCTGGGGCTGAGACCGAGACACTCCCCAGCATGGACACAAACCAGCTTCCTTCAGATGGTGACCCAGTGGGACCGGGGCCGGGACCCCCGTCTCAGCCAAGCCTCCCCCAAGGTGGGACCCCAGGTAGGCGGCTCCTCTGGGCTATTTGACCAGTATTTCTGGTCCTGAGCCAGGCAGGGTCCTTGGCAGGAAGTGGGTGTTGTGGTGGTAGCAATGGTATCGTGCGTAGAGGGGCCGGTATAGTGACCAGGGCAGCCCTGGCACTGCCTCGTGCATGTCTGACGGCAGAGGGGGTGACCCCGCTTGAGCGCCTTCCTTCAAGGTATGCTCCCCTGCCATCCAGGCTTCCTCCAAGCCTGCTTGGGGCCAGGGCACGGAGGGAGGAAGAACCCGGGCCTTCGTGGGGCATGAAGGCAGCTGGGATCAGGGGTTGTCCCTAGCCAGTGCAGGTCACTCCCTGGGCCTGTCAGTGCCCTGTGGGGCCTGATCCCGTGGCCCTGTGTGTTGGGTGAAGCTGTTCGCCAACATGGTATTAGGAGGGCCGGACCGGCTTCCTACCCATGTCTCTCAGTTTCCATGTGAGTGCCAGGCTGCTCCTGCGAGTAGATGTTCAGCCACCAGATGGTTCAGAGTGATGCGGTGCTCATGCTGAAGGGCTTCACGGTTCTTAGAACTGCTTGGATTTTTGAACTGTGTGCCTGCGGTACTTGGATACCAGTGTATCCGATGTTCTGAAACATCCCAGAGTGACTGGATCTGAACGTCTGGGGCAGGGCTGGATTTGCTGCTGTTGCTACTGTTGGCAGGACATGAGGGTGGCATGGTGGGCTTGGCTGTGCAGTGGCCTTGGGGGGGGGCCAGGAGGTGAGTGGATTTGGAGGCATGGGAGCCCTAGGCGCCCTGTCATGCCTGTGGGGAGGACTACCGTGCTGTTCCCCTGGGGTGACAGGTGACTGGAGTCTTGTTCTTTGTTTCCCAGGGCAATTGGGTGAGAAGCAGGTTCCATCTCCAACCTCGGATGATCGGGTAAAAGACGAGTTCAGTGACCTTTCTGAGGGGTGAGAGAAGAGTGGGTTTACATAGCCTAACATTCCTCCTTGGCAACCCAACGCCACCATCCCAGGGGCTGAGGCCTGGCTCTTGCTGGCCTTCCCCTTTCTCTGTTGGGAGGAGGGCAGTGGCAGGGGGTGCTTAACAGGCTTCCTTTTTTGATTGGGGGCACTTTGGACCTGATGGAGCTGCATGGGAGGCCCAGCCAGGTGTGGACATCACTCTGTTCAGATGGTCCTCTGGTTGCTGGCTCGTCTCTGCCTCCAAGGCTGAGTTTTATGCCAACCCCAGATGTTACTAGAACAGAAGCCAGCCTCTGGCTGTTTATCATGGTGTTTGTGATACGGAGTGGACGACAAACCTAGAGGCAGGCAAGACCACCTGTCTGCTCCTGGGCCCCCCCCCTTCCTGGTCTCCAAGACCAAATCTCTCGGGGTGGAGGCCGCACTCCAGCCGACCTTTCCACCCTGCCTTGTGTGCTGTGGCTGGACCACAGATGCACTTTGTCCGAACAAGTAGAACGACAGCGTGATTTTTGGTGCCAGTGACAGATGACCTAGGTGCTGGAGGAGAACCAGTGGGTGCCAGAAATCCACCCCCCACCCCGGGTCAGGAGGCTGTGGCTGTCCTGCAGCCACCAGCCATCCTTGGGCCTTTCTCTGTGGGGAGGGTGGCAGCCTGTGGGGCGGCTGAGGCATGCCAGCCAGGCTCTGTCTGTAGACTAGCAGAGCTAATGTGACTCACGTTTTAGGGTAGAGTTTACAGACGTGCAGATCTTTTTCAGGCCTTTGTTATCCTTTGAAATCACTGACAGCTCTCCTGTCATTTGGGTAGGTGTTTATAGTTAACGGGAGTGAGGTGACATTCTAAAAGCCCACTTGGTGCGAAGCCACCTCTTGTGAGGGTCTTCATCTCTGCCTGGCGCCTCGTAGGCTGACTTTCTGAGTTTGGGGTTCTGGTGTGATGAGAGGCATGGCTTACCGGGGATCCTCAGCCTGTGACCCTGGTTTGCCCTTTCTGTTAGAAGATGGTATTAGAGGATTGGGGATTTTAGGCCTTTTGAGAAGTAAAGCATGTAGTGTGGGGATCCACATGGTGTTAGACAGGAAGTTTCACTGCCTCCGTCACCTGCCCCAGAGCGTTGCTGAAGGTTCTCTTCTTTCCTAGAGATTTCCTGAGTGAAGATGAAAATGACAAGAAGCAGAACACCCAGTCCTCGGATGAGTCCTTTGAGCCGTACCCAGGAAAGAAGTAAGGGAATGGTGGTGCCATGAGCTCCCTGGGTTTGGGGGTGTCCAGTGGGTGACCTGGAGACCTGCATCTGCCCTGAGGGCAGCAGGGACCAGATGGTGGCTTGCCCCTGTCTGCCTTGGTCAGCACACACTTTGCTTCTCTGATGACCTGACCTCACCAGCCCAGTGAAGGGTGGCTTCTTGGTGACCCAGGAGGACTTTCCCAGTTCAGCGCAGGGACCTGGCCTAGTGCAGCCCTGTGAATGTGACTCAGCCACCCACCCATGTCTGCTCTGGTGGCCTCTGATTCCTCCTGCTCGCCTTCTGCCCTCTGTGCCCAGGGCCTTGGCAATATGGCCACCTGGCCCTGCAGTTGCTCTCGGGTCTACCTTTGGCCCTGTTCCCTTGTTGAGGCAGCCCACCTCCCACAGGGTTTTGTGTCCTTGCTCCGTGGATCCTGGCAGGAGGAGGCTGCTTATCACTGTGTTACCCGGGGCCCAGGAACACCGAAACATCTCCAGTTAGTAGATGCCCAGCTTGGGCTTCTGACATAGAATGAAACCACACTATCAGCCAGGAAAGCGCAAAACAAAATGGAGAAGCAGACACAACTTCCTTTCCCCTTTGTGGGTGGAGATGAGAGGCAGTGGTTTGGGAGTCCCCAGTTGGGATGTGGGGCTGGGTCACAGCCCTCGAACAGGCCTGAATGGACAGACGCTGCTGGGCCAGAGGGGGCATCAGGAGGGCCAAGTTGGAGGGACCAGGTCTGCTGCAGCAGGAGCCCTTGCTCTCCACCCTGATCTCCATGAGCCCACCTCTTATGTCCTGCTGCCAGCAGTCCTAGGGCGACTGGCGTGGGGTTAGGAGAGGGAAAGTCCCTGCCCTGCTCCAGGTAGAGATGGCAGGCAGGCAGCCCCTCCTTTCCTGGGTTTCCGGGAGGGCGCACAGACACATGCTATAGGCCAGGACACACCAGGTGTGTGTTCAGAAAGAAAGTGAACTCGCTCAGTCATGTCTGGCTCTTTGCAACCCCATGGACTGCAGCCTGCCAGGCTCCTCCATCCATGGGATTTTCCAGGCAAGAGTACTGGAGTGGGTTGCCATTTCCTTCTCCAGGGGATCTTCCCAACCCAGGGATTGAACCCAGGTCTCCCGCATTGCAGGCAGATGCTTTAACCTCTGAGCCACCAGGGAAGCTGCAATGTGTTCAGAGGCTGTGGTCAAATGGAACATTTTAGTGGAAGTTGTGCCTGTGGGAGGCTGGAGCCCTGGGCTCTTCCCTGATGGCCTCTTGGTGCCTCCGGCACCACAACACGAATGCCTGCTGACGTCCTAGGATGCGGCCGAGGTCCATATGACCTTGCAGCAGACGTGCCCGTTGAGGTCCTCAGCCACGCAGACAGGAGGGGACACCAGCTGCCAGGGTTCCCACGGGAGCCTGAGCGGCCACGGGGAGGTAAAGCACCGGCAGCCCCAAGTGGGGCCTGTGAGCGCCATCCTCCCGCGCCTGCGGGACCCCAGCCCCTTGTCCTTCAGGGACGCACTGGGAGACCTGGAGGCTGCCCCTGCTCAAAAGGAACATGTGATTTGGCGCGAGCAGCGGGCACAGCTCAGCTCTCACTGGGTGCCTGAGCTGCACAGCAGCGGAGGGTGGGAGCCAGGACCATGGCCGGGTGGCAGAGAATAGTCATAGACAAAGAAGGGCAGGAGCAGCCTGTGCAGTTGTTGAAAAGGTTCTTGTTAATATACTGTTTGAAGAGAAAAACAACTGTTCATGTTTTTATTTGTGGTACATTAATACACAACAAAGGTTACTGTTTTACCATTTTTTAAGTGTACAGTTCAGCCGCATTTCAGAACTTTGACAATGTTGTGCAACCATCAGCACTGTTTCCAGACTTTGTCCATCCCACACGCACTCTCATGAAGCAGTGACTTCCGCCCCTCAGGCCCTGCCAACTTCTAGTGTACCTATCCATTCTGGGGACTCTGTGTGTCCCTTTGCTACTGGCTTCTGTCACTCAGAATAGGGTTTTGAGATTCTTCCATGTTGTGACCTGTCAGTTTGATTCCTTTCTATAAGATTCTATTAAAGGGACTTCCCTGGTGGTCTAGTGGTTAGGATGCCACGTTTCTACTGCTGGGGACATAGGTTTGATCCCTGGTCGGGTTGCCATGCAGCACAGCCATGGTAGGGAGGGACCACATTTTGGCTGCTGTCAGTAGTTCTAGAAAGGTTGGTGTAACAATTATCTGTTTGAGACCTCTTTTTGATTCTTTGGGTCCTGTGGTACTTTTAACTTTCTGAGGAACTGCCATAGTTTTCTACAGCAGCTGCACATTCTACATTTCCTGCTGCCAATGTGCAGGGGTTCTGATTTCTATATATCCTCACCAAACCTTGTTATTTTAGGTCCTGCTAGTGGATGTTAAGTAGTATCTCATTGTAATTTTGATTTGCATTTCCCTAGTGATAGTGATGTTGAGTGGCTTTTCATGTTTGTATCATCTTTGGAGAAATGTCTGTCGAAGTTCTTTGCCTATGTTTTAACTAAGTAGTTTGTTTGTTTTGCCACTGAACTGTAGAATATATTTCCCCTTTTTTCACTGAAGTCCAGTGTTCCTATTTTTACTTTTCTAGTTTACTGTGCTTTTGGTGTCATATTCAGGAGAAACCATTACCAAGTCTAAAGTCATGGAAGATTTACCCATAAGAGTTTCACAGTTTTCACTTAGATTTAGGTCTTTGATACATTTGAGTTATTTCTGTGTATGGTATGAGGTATAGATCGAGCCCCACTCTTTTGCATGTGGATATGTGGTTGTCCCAGCACCTTTTGTTGAAAACACTGTCCTTTCCCTAGTGAGTGGTCTTGGCACCTTTGTCAAAAGTCAGTTGATTGTACTTGCAGGGGTTTATTTCTGGTCTCTCAGTTCCTCAGTATGTATGTCTATCCTTATGCCAGTACCACGCTGCTTTGATTACTGTAGCTTTGTAGTAAATTTTGGAATCAGGAAGTGAATTCTTCAGCTTTGTTGTCTTTCAAAGTTGTGTGGCTATTCAGTGTCCTTTGAAATTCCATGTGAAACTTAGGATTTTTTTTCTACATTGTAAAAAAAACAGAATTTTCATAGGGATTGAATGTATAGATTGCTTTGGGGGATTATTGCCATCTTTACAGTTTTAAATTTTCCAGTTCATGAACATGTGTTTCTACTTGCTTAGGTCTTAATTTCAGCAGCATTTTCATAGTTTTATATACCAGTCTTTAACATTTAAAGTTTACTTCTAAGTATCTTATTTCTTATGATGCTATTAAAAATGAATAGTTTTCTTAATTTCCTTTTTTGGACTGTTCATTTTTAGTGTGTAGGAACAGGACTGGGTTTTAATGTGTTCATTTTTCCACCCTGCAACTTTGCTCAATTTTTCTGTGTAGCTTTTTTTCCTACATATAACATCATGGCATCATAACTAGAGGTAATTTTCTTTCCTGTTAATTTAGATGCCTTTTCTTTTCCTTTGCCTAACGGCTCTGTCTGGGACTTTCAATACTATGTAGAGAAATGGTGAAAGTGGGCATCTCTTGTCTTGCTCCTGATATTAGAGGAAAAGCTTTCAGTAGTTTGCCTTCTGTTCCTGACAGATTTCCTTACATTCCTGGATCTAAGAAAAGGTGTGCATGTCTCTTTAAGACTTTGAAGAACACCAAGGGGGAAGCTGCTCTGTCTGGCCTGGTCCTCAGGGCCCCGTAAGACTAGCTGAGGTGCCCACTGCCTAGGGTCTGCAGTGGGGAGACAGCAGCGAATGTGGAGCTCCCCCCTGGTTGCTGGGGGTCTCCTGGCAGGTTCCAGGATAGTGGATCTGGATCTTCTTTCTAGCTTCCCCAACTCCACGATTTTCCCTGGTGTCTCCAAAGTTGTGTTTTTGGTGTTGACGACAGGGAGTGATACTTGGCCCTGAAGGCCCACTCCTGGGTCATGAGGTGGCTGAGCAGGGCCTCCACTTTCCCACGGAGTCTTTCTAGCTCTGGTGGCCAAGTGTTAGTGTGAAGGTCAGGTGGTCAGCATGGGGACTGGAGGTTAGCCCTGGAGATCCGAGGAAACCACCTCAGTGTTTAAAGAAAAATGAACACCGCGTATGCAAAAAGATCAGAAATATTACTGACCAGTGTTGTCTTTTCCTCCAGGGTGTCTGGTAGGAAAGGTGAAAGCAAAGAAGCCAAGAAGTCAGAAGAACCAAAAATCCGAAAGAAACCTGGACCCAAGCCGGGCTGGAAGGGCAAGCCGCGGTGTGAGAGGTGAGGGGCTGGAGCGGGGGTTGCACAGCCTATGGGGGCCATGGTTCCATGTGTGCTCTGCATTGCAGGGAGGAACTACCCACCATCTACAAGTGTCCGCACCAGGGCTGCACGGCCGTATACCGCGGGGCCGACGGCATGAAGGTGAGGGGGCTCCCAGGAGAGTGCACCCCCAGCTCTGCTGACAGGGCCTAGTTGGGTCTGTGCCTTCGTGGAGAGAAGGCCTGTGCGCTGCTTGGGGGTGTTGGCTGGACTGGGGGACTCACGCCCCCGGTCCCTCTCACAGAAGCATGTCAAGGAGCACCACGAGGAGGTCCGGGAGAGGCCCTGCCCACACCCCGGCTGCAACAAGGTGTTCATGATCGACCGCTACCTGCAGCGCCACGTCAAGCTCATCCACACAGGTGTGTCCCCTCCCCTGCCCCCTGCAGATGGGGCTCCGGGGAACTGACACTGAAGAAACTCTGGCGCTGTCCTGTGTCTATTGTGGTCTATTTTTACATCATTGTGTGTTCGTCGCTTAGTCATGTCCAACTCTTTGCGACCCCATGAACTGTAGCCCACCAGGCTCCTTTGTCCATGGGATTCTCCAGGCAAGAATACTAGAGTGGGTTGCCATTTTCTTCTCCATTTACATCATTACTGGAAGAAAATGATATATGCTTTTCAGATTATAGAAGTGACCTAAACTCATGGTAGCAACTGGTGGGAAAAGTATAGGTAAAGTGGTGCCCCAGTGATCACTGCCATCAGCATGTGAGGTTACTACCCCTTCTCTCTGAACACGTGTCCACGACCTTGGACTCGTGTGTGCCTATGCTTGTCATTGCTGGTTCTGCCCAGAAGGCAGCTCTCCCGACGTGCAGCCCCTACATCCAGATAGTCCATTCTAAACGATACTTTTCCTCTGTTGACCTCTGTACAAATGATTGACTTCTTCACTCTGATTTGCCCACTTAATGGCTGGCTCACAGTCCCTCGGTTTCACAGCATTTCATGCTGTGAGTGTTCTTGTCCATTACTCCTGACACAGTAATTCCCTGGTCAAGAGTCAAGCCGTTGTAACTCAGTCTGACCACAGTCATCGTGACCACGAGCAGTTTTTATTTTCAGCACAGAACAGTCTAGACCTCACACTGTCAGGACGATTGCTCCTAGTCAGGGAGGAGCCTGCCTGCAGCTGCATCAGGTGCTGGTAGATGCTCAGTGATGTAGGAAAGAAGCATGTGGTGGTGCCCCAGGTGCATGGCTGGGGGTGTGACGTTAAAGTTTTGTTGAAAAGCTCTTTTAAGACTGACTTCCACAGTGGGTACCCCAGTGGTGGGCCCAGCATGGGCAGTCCCTAGAGTAGCAGTAGCTGTAATCAGTCATCTGTGAAACTGCACTGATTGGGCTTCCTCTAAGAATTGGTGCTCCAGAAAATAGGAGGTTTAGGGAAACATGCTACAGCCAGGTGATGTGGGTCATAGCTGTGTCATCTGTGAGTTAGGTGCTCGGGCACCGAGTGGACAGTGTCAGGGCCTGTGGTCACTCCTTATCTGGTCCCCAGAGGTGCGGAACTACATCTGCGATGAGTGTGGACAGACCTTCAAGCAGCGGAAGCACCTCCTGGTCCATCAGATGCGCCACTCTGGAGCTAAGCCTCTGCAGTAAGTTGGGGGTGGTGGCCCTCCCGCTGGCAGCACCCTGGCCCTGGCTCACTGCCCCCATCCCATAGGTGTGAGGTCTGCGGGTTCCAGTGCCGGCAGCGGGCATCCTTGAAGTACCACATGACCAAGCACAAGGCTGAGACGGAGCTGGACTTTGCCTGTGACCAGTGTGGCCGGCGGTTTGAGAAGGCACACAACCTCAACGTGCACATGTCCATGGTGCATCCGCTGACGCAGACCCCAGACCAGGCCCCGGAGGCCCCACCCAGGCCCGCAGCAGGGCAGGTGGTGAAGGCTGAGCCCACCTGAGGGCCTGCCCGCCCTGAGGTCAGGGGTGGTGACTGAACTTCAGGCCTGTGGGCAGAGTGGTGTCCTGACGCACCCCCACTATGTGTGCTGGGTGGTGATGGTTCAGTCCACGGCTTGCGGGGTCTTGTGGCCTCTGCTCTGGGACCAGCAGTTTCTTCTCCTATAAGCAGAGTAACTTGGGCCAGATGCAGATTTTTTAGAGAACTGATTCCTCTTCCCCACTAAAGCAATTGAGATTTGTAACCCACTTTTCAGGGCAACAAGAGCTCCATGTTATGCTTGTAATAAATTATTTACCGAGGAGCTGGGCAGTGCCCTGTGCAGATCGGGTCAGAAGACCTGGGGCTCCTAGGAGAGAGAAGGATCCAGCACAGCCTGCCGCCTGCTCAGGAGAGCAGCACTCACTTCCGGGTCACAATCTTCACTCACAGCCAGCAGCTGCAACAAAGCCCACATGCTGGACCCATGCTACCCCCTGTCCCTCCCAGGCCTGGATGCTGGATGCCAACTTTCCCCAAGGCGTCCAGCATCCTCATGTCACACAGTGACATGGACCTAAACACAGACACAATGGTGAGCACCTGGGTGTTACCTCTGCCACGTGCAAGAAGCTCCTTTCTGGGCACCGAGGTATCAATTGCAGCAGAAAGAGACGGGCGTTTGTTATCAGGCTTACAGGGTCGCCCTGGAAAGAAGATGGGCAGAGCCAAGGTCAGGATCCCCACAGCTGTGAACTGTGCCAGGAGCGTCACCCCGGTCTGTCTGGAGATGGGCCTGGCCCTGCACCTGCCTGGGTCGGGAGCTCCCCACCACGGGCCAAAGTCCAGATTGCACCAGTTTCCCCGGCCACAAAGAGGCCAACAAGCTTCAGGTACATGTTGAGAGCAACGTGCAGGAAGGCATCTTCTGTGAGGAGGGCATCCTTGTCAAAGTAGGGAAGGAGGCTAAAAGGCAGACACAGGTGTCAGGTGACCTGACCTCAGACGTCTGAGGCTGGTGGCAGGCAGCAGGGGCGCAGCCTCTCTTGTCTTGAGGGACCCCTGCTGTCCTTCCCCTGACCTTCAGGTCCTGAGGGTTACCTGTAGAAGGCGACTGGCAGCAGCCTGATCTGGTGGTCGGGGGCCAGGCTGAGGAGGGTGCGCCCCAGGGGGACATCTGCAAAACCGAGGGGCTTGTCAGCAGTGCAGGGGCCTCCCATAGGGTCAGGGTCTCCAGGAATCGTGTGCGTGCTGACCCAGGGGCAGTGACCTCACGCCACAGACTAGGGGGTGGGGGCCGGGTCCCTGAAATCCCAGGGCTCCACTAAATTATTAAATGAGTCTGCATACTTAAGCAAGAACATAAAGTTGCAAAAACGAATTTTTAAAGTGAGCCCCAAGGAAGGCTCCTGTGTAACCATTTGAAAGTTGCTTCTGAAGAGAAGGACTAAGGAGTTGGCTGAAGTCTGACCTGCTCCTGGCAGAGGGCTGGGGGCCAGCACAGACATGGCTGGCAGCCTCTGGATTTCTCACCCGCCTCCGTCAGCTGAAAGACCAGCAGCCAGGAAATCCTCCTCCTCTGCAGACACCCCAAGATCTCCGCACAGATGTCCAGAGCCTTCAGGGAGCTAACAGCCTGTGACCCACAGAAGAACAGGAGAACTCAAAGATGACAGCGGACAAGGAGGGGGTGTCTACCTGGGCCCCTGCACAGACCCTCAGGGTGCAGGGTCTGAAGGAAGACCCCACAGGGCAGGCCCGTGGCCTGGGGTTTTCTCTCCTGAGAAAGCTTTTGCCCCAAAGGTACCACGCCTCCCCTGCTCAAGAGACCTAATTTAAGAGGTCTGCAGGGAAATGGGGATCCATGGTTTCAGGCGCCCTGAGGGCAGGGGCTCACCAACCTGTCCAATGTGGGAGAGGGTCTGACTTACCTGTGGAATCAGATATGAAGACAGCAGGCCCATCAAGGAAAAGAAAAACAGGGAAACAAACAGCTACAAATAAAAAAACATCCACTCACAACATAAGACTACCTGTATTCTGTTCCCTGACAGTAACTATAAGTAAAAAACATTCCTCACTAATTGAGCATTTTACAGACCTAGGTTAGAAATCTTTAGGGGGATCTTCACAGGAATAAAATTTCCAGTTGCTCTTAAGACAATTTAATGGGTTATAAACAATTACTGCTTGGGGACCCATCTCTGTGGGCCTGTAAGGGGACAGTGGTCTGGAAGATACAAAGCCACTGAAAGCCTTCCAAATTTTACAGCCTGAAAAGTCTAAGAACAGATGCTCCCTGGGAGTCTGTTACTTGAAATTATAATCACTCAAACCCCACAGCTCAGCAGTTGTTGTCATGCAGGTGTGTACAACCTGAGCTGCTGGGGAGTTCTGGGTTTTAGAGAACCAGGGGTTCAGCTGGGTGCACCATGGCAGCTCCCAGTAGGGACACCAGCCTGCCCTCTGAGCAGCCCTCCATCCTGTCCTGGTCTCAGCGAGCAGCTGAATGGGGTGCAGGTACCTTGATGGGTGTCAGTCAACCCTAACCACCCCCACCCAGGGATTATGGAGAGGATAAACAGGTCAAATAAAAGCAGTTGGGAGTTAACCTGAGAGTAAGTCTTATCAAACCTATACACCCAGGAAGGTTTACTTCCAAATAAAGTCACAAGGACCCCAAACACTTGTCTGTCCTTGAAAAGCACAGTGTTGTTAGATGAACCCTGAGAAGGTGAGCTTGCAGGAAGAGGGTGTCATCCTTGCCTCCTCTCCTTGGCCATCCAGCTTCCCCAGCTCCTGCCATATGCTCTCCTTCCTGGCCCGTTGAATCACAAAGTGCAGGGCAGCTGCGCAGAGCCAGGACGGGCCAGGTGCAGGGGATGGTGTGAGGGGGGAGGAGACACTGCGCAGACAAGAGGAGTGTGTCACCACAGGAACCCCCGCCCCAACCTGGCTCTGCACAGACTGGCCCTATGCCCTGGACACAGGAAGCGGTGCAGCTTGCAGGGGGTCTCAGCTTTGACAGGAGGGTGTGGAACACAGGGTCGCCTGGAACCCTTCCCCCAACCCCCAGACCCCAGAATCTGCACCAGCTTCCCACACAACCCCTGCTCCAATTGCACTGTGATGTTCAAGGTCCTTCAGCAGGCTGAAACGGCCAAAAGTGAAAAACAGAATACAGTGCATTGATTTAAGAAACTTTCCTGCTCTCTATACGATTAGTCAATGGGCAAACTGGCTTTCCTTGTTTTCTGAGGTTTCCAGCATCCCTGACTCTTTGGGGGTGCCTGAGGGATGGAAATGGTCACAGAGGAAAACGTAAGGAGGCTGGAGGGGACCAGTGATCCTCTCAGTGACATCTAGGAGGGCATCTGCAGGGAAGTAACAGGAGACGGGCAAGTGAACCCTGCACCTTGCAGGGCCTGTCCAGAGGCCTCTCCGGCTCCTGAGATGCTGGGCAGGTCAATGAGAGCATGTGACCATACTCACCTCTCAGCGAAGAGGTGGGCCTCCTGCAGCTTCTGCAGCTCTGCAGGCAGCGGGCTCTGGGACCACCTCCTCCACCGGCAGTGCAGCTCGGGCTCCAGGCTCGACCACCACAGCTCATGGGAGAGAACGGGCACTGACAGTCATTCCCCCCACCACGACGCTTTGGAGATCTCAGTGACCCTGACCATCTGGGTAGGACATATCCACCTGCTGAGTGGGCTGACACCCACTCCCCCAAGCCTGGCTCTGCTCATCTAGTGCTTCTTAACTACAAGGACAGTGTCTCATCTATGGCCCAACACAGCTCATCCTCAGAGGACACATGGTTGCCCAGGGAGCTCAGTGGGGGACATGCTGCTCTGAAAGAATGGGGCTGTGTCCTCCCTCCTGACAAAAGGAGAAGTGGTAAGAAAGCCCACAAGCGAGCCCCATCTGAGGAACTTCAGAACACCATGCAGGGGCAGGCCTACAAGGGCTGAGCCGGCAGCTTCAGCCCAGAGCAGTGTGAATGACTCCTGTTGCTGGCTGTGGCGTGAATGGACTCTTGCAACCCTGACCTCCCGCTCCAGTTCTGCTCCCGGGGGCATCTTCTCCTGACTTAACACCCACTGTGCCTGGGATCACACAGCCAGGAAGCCCTAGACGGATGTGCGACCTCCAGCCTCACTGACTCCCACGGCACCCCTCCAGGCCCAGGAGCTCCCCCATGAAGATGGCAGGCCTACCAGAGCAGAAGTGAGCAGCAGGGGGCACTGGGTCTGGCAGGCGGTCAGGGCCAAGTCAGCTGCCAGGGATGGGTCTCTGCTTCGTGCACAGGTGTTGAGGAGACCCTGGGGGAGGAGATCCCCACCGCTGGGTTTGCACGTGGACCTTGGGAGCCACTGCACATACGAGGGCCAGGCCAGAGGTCTGAGGAGTGACATGGGAGGGGTGGTGGGAACTGGAATTACCCTGAAGAAGTGGACAGTGATGTCGTGGGTGAGGGCACCATCTTGGGAGAAGTTCCTCTGCAAGATAGTAGAGGCCAGTGAGGAAGGAAGGCAGAAGACGAGGGTGGGCGGCCACATGCTGTCCCTCATCCCCCCACACCTGGCTGCTTTCACAGGTCGTTCTCAGAGCTTGAGGGGGAACAGCCTCCAGAACGAACTTGAACAGAAAATCTCACCTCATTTCTGCTGCTCCCCAGTTACCCTATAAGCTCCGCATAGATGACCAGAACCTCAGATCAGCCTCCAGCTACGTGGTGCATTTTTACAAAGCCTCCTGCGGGGGCACAGTACCTCCCATCCCTGACTGTGCACAAGCAAGGGCGGGCACCCTTCGGAGCCTGAAGAGCCAGGTGTGGGCACTGTCTGGCTTCTGTGCCCAGAGGTGAAGCAGGCAGGTCGGTCAGCACTTCTGGGGCCCAAACCACTAACCTGGGGAAGGTTCTGTGAAGGAGTCATCTTCCAGAGAGGGCACTGGCCCCGGTCTCTGGTCTCGCTGCCTGTGTCCAACAGGGTGAAGGACTCCCTGCGGCTCCAAGTGCCACGGCCTATCCTCAGTAACCCCATGCAGGTGGGGCCCATACCGAGGCCACTGGCTCCATGTAACCACAGATGCACTCCTGAACTTTCCCCAGAACCAGCCCACGGTGCCCACATGACCCCCAACCCCGCACCTGACCTCGCTTGCTCCACACCTACCAACTCTGAGTTGACCAAGTGGAAGAAATCGGCACAGCTGGGGGCGGCCGGCTGCTCCGCACAGGGGCTGCTGACCAACATGGAGGGGGGCAGGCCGAGGAGGGTGCTGGGAGGATGGAGATATGGACAGTGACCCCCGAGAGCAACG